TCCAACCCTTTTAAATGACCCATGAGGGTGCCTAAAGCTCAGAGAAACCAAGCAGTTGGAATCAGACTTTCTCAGCTCACTTGTACTTGCGATAAAACTAGATCACAAGCAGTGGTCTAGTGAAACAACTGGATCTCTTAGATGAAAAGGACTCGAATGCATCGGTATGATCGTTGTTACACATTTTACTGATGAAAGAATACACAGCACACAATTTTAAAACGACAGTGGAAGATGCACTACTCTTTCTCACAGCCCCACGAAGTCTGTGGATCCTTACAAAATGCTTTATGTTCAGCGTTTCATCAAACTCTTGTATCTGCAGCCAGACTGTGGCTCCAACAGAAATAACGGCACAGACGCCCTCTTAGGTGAGCTGAATTACAGTTTCCAAGTACACAACTGGAAGTCTATTTCCCCAATTTTCTGCTTTTCACGAGGTAATGTCTACCAGCACCCCACACATTTTTAAACTTAATCTGCTTTATTAGCCTTTTTATTACTTTCTTAATCAACAACTAATAAAACAGTAAGCCCAACTCTGTCTTGTAGAGTTTATCGACTCCTGTGGTGGAATTATGAGCCCATATTTCCAGCATAACAGGTTTTGGGTTGCCTGTGTACTCTTGACATGGGGCTGGGAGAGCTTCCCTCGCACGGTATTTCCGCCATGGGAACATGGGCCCACACAGCCTTTACGGCACAGCCTGCCGTAAAGCAGGAAGCAATATGTCTGAGCATGTATTGCCTTTTGATACAACAAGCACACATTTACATAATTCATTTTCTAGTAATGTCTATATTTAACAACTAGGTAACAGAATTCTTGGAAAGTTAACAGCTAGCTCTTGCAATCTGGTAGAAACCTATTCAGCACACCACACACAGGTCTCTTAAAACTTTCTCCGCCAAGGAGACTGGCTTTAACCGCATCAACACAGCAATGATGCAGGACCTCCACATGAAATAGGGTAAATATTATAACTTCCAGCCTGCAAGACGTCCGGTGCACCGAGTGTGCGTTCCCCGCCAAATCGAAAAATGAATTCTGAAGAAGAACGGAGGTTAAGAGAAGGACGTTTTACTGAAGGAAAGACAGCTCCTGCCTGAGAGGGACGGGAGTTATTTAGGAATCAGTCCACGTGGTGTAGTCACTCCATCTTTGTCTTGAGGCCTGGCCTTCAACGCATGCACCTCCAGCCACAGCTGCAGTGGGTTTTCGTCTCTGCACTCACTTCTTCGAGGGCCCAGCCCTAGCCCTGTCTGACTCCCTAGAGTATTTCCACCTCACTCAGCTGTCGATAACAGCACGTAACACTGTGAAGTCAGCTTCCTCATGGTTTCTCCCTAATAAGTTACGTGGGAGTGATAATCAAACCAAGGTCCACCACCTTCTCCGGCCACGCCGTGCTCACCTCACGACTTTTCCTCCCCCAAAGCAGCTGTTGTGAAATCCGTCTTGAAGACTTAAAAGCGAGTCTCTGCGCAGACGGTGCCAATCACACCGCAGGCCACCAGATGGCGCACACGCCAGCCGCCTCCCTGGGAAAATCGCTCCCTCAAATTCAACGTGGGAAAGACCATTGTTTTGGCCCTTTTGTTTGACAGGCAGGAAACCTTCAGTAGCCCTTGAGGATAGCCGAGTAGTTATCAGAGGGTAAATCTCCATTTGCCCTCACATTTTTCAGTAAATAATAATAATAACAACAATTTAAGGTACGTATCAACAAAGCTTTGAAGGACGTGAAGAGGAAGTAATCATCCCCCACTTTTCCAGCTGAAGATTCTTCCAGTCCTCAGCCCTCTGTTGCAGGAACACTGGCTGAGCAATTGCTAGGATTCTGCCTTTAGTTCGTAGCACAATCCAGGCTCCATTGCAAGAAATTCAGCCCCACACTCATTCGCTTTCCACTATTGCAAATGTGTAACAAAATCACTACGTGACATTACTTCACCTGTGTGATCCCACATCCCAAAACATAACGTTTTGAAGGCACTGATGCAGTCTGACTTCACTGTTTCACAAGTAAGCAAACCCAGCTCAGGGCGGCGCCTGGCCAGCCTGCGGGCCTGGGCTGACGTTTCCCAGGGACTTCCCCACTGCTCAGGCAAGTGTCCCTTCCGCCCTCCCCTGAGCTTCCACAAGAGACTCCTCCCATCTGTCCCTTTAACGCCATCCTTCCTCTTCCGGAAATGCTGGCATTTTCCAGGATGTGCTCTGTGCATGTCCACCGCTTAGAAGCGGACACTTCACCGGCAGGGGCACTGTCGTCTCCTTCCCGGCGTCCTCGATTCTAGAACCTCGTCTAGAGCAGCACACTTTGAGCCCCTGCGGGGAGGAGAGTGTCGCATTTGTCTCTGTCCTTAGTGCAGCTCAAGAACTTTGGAACTGAATCTTGGAAATAAAACTACCTCCAAGTCAGAAAAAAATCTCTACCAGACCCCACTCGGGTCTCTTTTGGGTTAGGTGATATTGTCCTACCCGCTTCATTCTTACTTTCTCATCCCCAAAATGAGGGACTTGGGTTTGGGGATCCTTGAAAACCCTTTTCTCTTGGAAATACTGTGATGCTATTTTCCTGTGCTTAGAAATACTCCATGAAAGTGCTAGGCGGGAACTCGAATTGTTTTTTAAAACGTATTTTATTAGTGCCTGTTAATTTCATAAAACGCTGCGGTTCGATGTGGTATTTTCATTCGTGCGTATATTTTGATCGTATCCATCCTCGCTTTTACTCTCCCTTACACCTCCTTCCCCCTTCCCCCTATCCCCTCCTCGAACAATATTCTCCCTTCTACTTTCATGTCGTTCTTTTGAAATTCCACGTACTAAGAAAAACACGCACTGCCTGTCTTTCTGAGTCTGGCTCCTTTAACTTAACCTAATGATGTCCAGGTCCATCAATTTTCTGACAAACGACATAATTTTGTTCTTCTTTACAGCTGAATAATACTCCATAGTGTAAATGCCACGTTTTCTTTATCTCTTTATCTGTTGATGGACACCTAGACTGGTTCCTTATCTTGGCTATTATGAATTGTGCCGCAGTAAATACGGCTGTGCAGATTCACCTGCAGTATGTCGACTTTAATTATTTCAGACAAATACCAAGGAGTGGGATGCTATGCCATATGGTAGCTCCATTTTTAGTTCTTTGAAGAACCTTTATACTGATTTCCATGGTGCCTCTACTAATTTACATTCTGACCAGAAATGTAGAAGATTTCTCTCCCCACACACATCATCCCCAGCGTTTATTATTTTCTATATTTTTGATGATAGCAGTTCTGACTGGGGTGAGACAGAAACTCAGTATAGTGTTGATTTTCATTTCTCTAGCGGCTAAAAATTTTTTATCATATATTTGTTATATGAACACTTTTTATCATATATTTATTGGCTAATTGTACTTCTTATTTCGAGAAGTATTCATTCAATTCACTTGCCCATTGATTGACTGAGCGATTTGATTTTTTTTTTTTTTTGGTGTTTTCTGAATTCTTTATATATTCTAGATATTAATCCTCTGTCAGGACAGTAGTTGGAAAGATCTCCTCTTCTGTGTACTGGCTCCTTGCTCTGTTAGTTGTTTCCCTTGCTGTGTGGAAGCTTTTAAATTTTAGGCAGCCTCTTTTGTTGATTCTTGCTCCTACTTCTTGTTCTAGCCAAGCAGTTTCTGTTCTATTCTTGTCCTGTCCAAGTTCTATTCAAGAAGTTTTTACTTGTGGCTGTGGCTTTAAGTGTTTTCCCCATGTTTTCTTCTAGAAGTTTCAAAATTTCAGGTTTTGCACTTGGGACCTAAAGATAAAGGATAAAATCTCTTTTGGGTTGATTTTTGGAGAGGGTAAGAGATAAAGATCTACTTTTAACCTTCTATAAACACATAGTCAGGTTTCCCAGCACCATTTGTTAAAAAGGTAATCACTTCCAATGTGTATTTCTTTGCTCCTTTTTCCAGAATCAAATGGTTATAGTCACGTGAGTCAGTTTCTTTGTCCTCTATTCTGTTCTACTGGTGTATGTGTCTATCTGGGCCAGTGTCATGCTGTTTCCGATACTATGGCTTCATAGTATAATTTGAAATCTGGTATTGTGATGCATCCAACCTTGCTTTTTTGGCTTAGGAATGCTTTAGTTATTCTGAGTCTTTTGTGTTCCCATATGAATTTTAGGATTATTGTTTTATAAATCTGTAAAGAATGTCATTTCAGACTTTGGTGGGGATTACATTGGTTCTGCAGATTGCTTCTGGTACTGTGGCCATTTTAACGATACTAATACTATCTATCTATAAGCCTGGGCTATCTTTCAATCTTTTAGTGCCTTCTTCAATTTTTTTTTCACTGTTCTGTAACTTTTGTTGTAGAGGGTCTTTTACGTCCTTAGGTTGGTTCCTAGTTTATTTTTCTTCGATGCTATAGTGAATGGCACTGTTTTACTGATTTCTTTCTTAGCTAGATGTACAGAATTAGTGATGTACAGAAAAGCTATTGGACTTTTACTGTTGATGTTGTACCCTGAGGAACTTGAATTAATCATATACATATGCATAAAATGAAATATATGTATAATGAATATATAAGTATTACCTAATCAATGTAATTTCACTCATCATTTCTTGATAAATGTCTTTTCCTCTTTAGTATTAAATATTACAATTAAGCATATATGAATGTTAATTTTAAAATAGGAGCCAGTGATTAGGAGGGAGCCTTGGTTATCACATTAAATATGATGAAATCTTAATTCCCTGCTTTACTAGCTAGGTGGCTATAGGTGAAATGTTTAACTTCCCCATCTCTTAGTTTCTTCATCAGAACAAGTGTGAAGTTTAATAAAACCACAAAAGCTAAAATGTTTTAGTATCATACTGGGCACCTAATAGATCTTTAAAAATATTAATCAGAATCATAAAGAGGAATCATTTTCATGTAAGTAAATGTAAGAGTAGTACTTGACAATGTTTTCCATAAATTTATGATATTCCTTCTTGTTTTAGGAGACAAACCCATACAGGGAAACAAGGTAAGAGAAATAATTAGAACATGTTCGGTATTCTTTTCTTTAAAATCATAGAATTGTGGATGAGGTGAAAGCTTAGGTATGACTTGAAAAATGTGCCATAGGAGCTTGATCATAATTAATAATTTCTGTTTGTAAGCCAAAGATTTTAGCCATTTGTACTACTCAAAAAGCAATAAATTTAATTTCTGATTTTTTTTTACAGACCCCTATACCACCACCTAGGTAAGACATTTAAAATTATATAGGTTTTTTTGCTATTTACATAAGTGATGTGTGCCAGCACTTGAAAAGAAGAAATAGAAACATTTGGCATTGAAAAAACTAATATAAGTTGACCAATGACAAGCCTTCTTTCACTCATTTAATCATTCATTGATTCACTCACATTTAACTCTTCAATATACCCTCACTCACCAGTCTTTCTTTCTTTCTTTCTTTCTTTCTTTCTTTCTTTCTTTCTTTCTTTCTTTTCTTCTCTTAAGAGAAACATGAGAAAGATTTACTACAGATAGATATAGAACACACTCAAAAGAGGAGTGCGGGTGCTCAAAGAAATGAGGCACCTCATTTGCATTTTTAGGAAAAAAGAAAACAAAATTTCACAAAATAATAAAAGAATGCAATAGTTAATACACTGTGTATCACTGTCTTCAAAGTAGTTACTCAGCATATATATTAAAATATTTTGGAACAAATAGGTAATTTAGAGAATTAGTTGAACTTCTCCCTATTTCCTATTTATCTATCTTCTATTTTGCTCTTACTTGTGTCTGTGTGTATAGAAAGATATATGTTTTTTGAATTTCTCATATAAGAGAAACCATATGATATTCAAGCTTGTATGTCTGATTTACTTCATTTAACATTATGTTCTCAAGTTGCATCCATTTACCTATGAATTTCTCCAGTTTATCCTTCTTTATGGCAGAACAGTACTCCATTGTGTGTAAATACCACATTTTCTTTAACAGTTCATCTGTTGATGGACACATATGCTATTCCAAGATCTAGCTATTGTAAATGGTGCTGCTATAAACTTGGGTGTGCATGGATCCCTGCAATATGATCATTTGAACTCTTTTGTTAAATGAAATTTCTAGTTTTAGTTTTTTGTGGATTTACATAGTGGTTGTACTAGTTTACATTCCCACCGGCAATTCTTTCCTGTTTCTCTCCCTTCTTTTAGCACAGAAATCTGCCAGCTCTTTGATGGGTATCTACTTACATTCACATTCAAGAGAGACTGGGCTGGCCCTATCTATCTCTCTGTGTATCAACAAGTGAATAATCAGAGAGTCAATGGCTACATAAGAGACTTACAGTATGTAAATATATGCTCATATAAGCACATACATTTATAAATAGTACATGCGCAAGGCCAAATAATATTATACTACCCATAGATAAGAAGATCAGAGCAGCAGGGGCTGCTGAGGCTCTCATGTGTGGTCACTTCGCTGCTGTCCTGCTGCCTGCATGTGCCTCTGCCAGGCCTTTTTTACACCTCTATCACTCATTTCTTCAGATCTCTCCCTTCCCTCCCTTGGAAGCATCTTGAGCCAAGCACAGTGTCCTTTTCCTCCACACGTTTTCTGAATGAATGGGAGAACTAAACTGGCGCACAAATCAGAAAATTGGTCTTCATTCACTAGCGAACATTTCCATATTTCCTAGGGGAGCTTTAAAAATTCAGCTCCTTCAGCCTGATGTACATAGAAGGCTATTGTTCTCTTTTCCCCAGGCCTCTTCAAACTCACAAAGGGGCCACACAGAAAAGTATGTGACACCCTGTGGAAGAGTGTATCACCCTCCAGAAAACAGCACCAAACCAAAGAGTGAGACGGCAGGGAGTCCAATTTAGATCTGCTAGATGATCAAATACACTGGCACCTGGGGCTGCCTGAAACAGCTCAGGCTGCTCAGTAAACCTCTGAGCTTCGCAAAACTGTGCTTCCAACACAGACTTGGAGCAGGGAGGGCCGGGCGGGATGCATTCAGCGGGTGAGGAGCCAGCTGTGTCACCAACCTGCTCAAACCCTGTGGGACTCTTCACACAGGCCTCCCCCAACCCTCCCGAAGAAGTACCAGCCCTTGCCCCCTGCACCACCGGAGAGCCACACACCTTCCCTACAGCAGCACAGCTTCCCAGAAGCCCAGCGGGGGCCCAGGTGAGACACGTGGCCTTGCTAGTGTGCAGTGCCCAGGAAGGGACTGGGGTGGGCTGCAGGAGGGTGGCAGCATCACCTCCTAAAGCGGAGGCTTCCCCAGAGAGGGTGGAGGGAGCTCCCCCTGGGGCAAGGAAGGCTGACCACTCCTGGAGGGAAAACAGCCTTAGAAACCTGTGGTTGGATACTTCCCAGAAAATACAGCTTTGCAAGAAAGTGAGCTATTGAAAGAATTGCTCCTCTGAGGCCTGAGTTAGTTATTGAAGAAATTATTCCATGCCAGCAGGAAATCAGGACATTGTATGTAAAAGCCAGAATAGGGTTCAGACTATTCCAGGACCAATCCGGGGGCAGCTTGCTTTTGCTCTGGCTACAGAAATACAGCCAGGCCTGAAAACCCTTCTATCAAAAACATTATTGCCTTTTTGACAAATACATATTGCAAAACCAGCCCTCTGGCACTAAGGGTTTCCATGGGAATTGGATTCCCATTCCCAATGTACGGGGTGGTTGACAGCTGATGCTAATCACAAAATGTGACTAACTCAAGTTAGTAGGTTTCCCCCCAAGATAGTTTAAATTACCAAAATTGCCTCTTTTTGGAAGTCAGAGCAGAGCGGGGCATTTTCTTCTCATTCCTGCACGGAAAGAACAATGCTTTCTGGCTGCAGGCTGGACTGGCAGGTCGAGGTACGGCTGTGATTGAACTGGGAGATGTTTCTCAGGACTGCAGAAATTCAGGGGTGAAGCCCATTTTGAGCTGTATGGGAGACCTGTTCATTACTGGTTCTGATGAGAGGGGATCATTAAACAGTTTTAAACGCCTGTCATTCTCCCTCCTAATTGTCTGGAAAATGTCTCATCTGTTCATCCTTCACAGTCCCAATAGCAGGTCTTCCAAAAGGCACTGCCCTTGTCCTCTCTCCCATGGAACACACTCTCCATCTGTCCCTCTCACAGAGCACAGCCCCCAGGAACAGGAGCAAGTCCTCAAGGCTGGCCTCAAACTGTCCTGATTGAAATTTAGGCTGTATTTCACTGGGGACAGGGGTGATTTACCCTTCTTCCCCAAAGGACAGGTAGCAACGTCTGGAGAGAATTTGGGTTGTGATACCTTGGAGAAGGGCTGCTACTGGCATCTGCCGAGTAGCATGGGTACCCCCCAGGGTAACAGAACCAGGGTAACATACGTGCAAGCTTTCCATGTAGAAGGGAAGGAACTGCCTCAGTCAGTCCTGCAAAGTCCTGGACCAGCGTTTCCCGGGGCCAGGGTTTTTCACACTGGTAAAGGAAGGATTATATCAATACCTACCACCTACCTACCTCATTGGCTACTGTGAAAATTTAATGAGATGATTCTCCTAATGTGCTTAGCAGCAAAGATTTATAACTAATATTTCTTGCATGCTTAGGACCTTGTGCTTTTTTCTATTTGAGCTTTTCTCACCCCCAAGTAATATACCCAGATTCTAATCTGACCCTTGCACCCCAAAAGAGCTCACATGGTATCTGTATTTCCTTGTACAGTGCCTGATGTATGCACTTGTAGGTGTCTAATGAGCATGTATGTCCTTCTGCAGCTTCCAAAGGCACCTGACCATAGAAGGAGCCATCAAAGTTGCTCTGTTCTGATTTCCCCTTTCAAAGAGGGAGGGACTGAGGGGAAGGGACATTAGGAAGTGGTGCCATCAGGATCAGAAATACCAAGTGTTCTCTCCAGAAAACTCTTGATCAAATAGTTTAGTTTAATATGTTAAGACCTGGTCAACCTGCAAAGAAGTAAGGAGAAAGAAAATAGGACTAAGAAGATACCATAGACGATGAGGTTATTTAGTGTGAAAATATGTGTATCTACTTTCTACTTCTTCATGCCTGAAAAGGACAGGCTCCTGGGGCCCAGCAGAACAGGGCTGAATCCCACTTGAGCCACTTCCAGCTGTATAATTTCAGAAAGCTCCTTAACAACTCCGAATCCTGTGCATCTATTGGAATGGTGCTCCACATTTTTACAGCTCCCCAATGTGAGGTTGATCTCTTTAGAAATTGGGGCTTTGTACCTTGGTGTACTTGCAGTTCTAGTTTACAATTTTTAAATCATGTTTAGGAATTGGGCTGCACCTGTTCACTGCAAACCCCTCTAAAGAGTCATTGCATTTCATCTTACAAACTCCTTCCAGGGCTCTGTGAAGTGTGGTTTATCTAAGTCTTAGCATGGCAAAGGGTCCAGCCCAGTGGAAGGCCTGTAGGCACTCAATAAATATCATTTCCCTTCCTTTGGGTCTCTAAGCTCACTCAGGTGAGGTTAGGTAACTCAGAGAGGTTAGGTAACTTAGTCATAGTCACGAGGCTGACATGTGACTGTCAGGAGTAAAAGCCTGCAGAGTGCTCCAGGAGACACTGGGACACACCAAGAGTAGAAGGATGGGAGAGTTTTGCTTTAGCAACAGAGCTGTGCTTTCAAATGCATTGTTAGCAGAGAGCACTTGGGTGGTCAGACAGCTTTAGTGAAGACCCAGGTCATGTGTAAATAGCCATGCAGGCTGTGAAAATAGAACACCTGCCATCTGAGCTTCTCCAGCAGCCCCCAGCACCCCCCAACACACACACACACCCTGCTAGCAGCTACTCTGTAAGGCACAGCATTTGAATCCCACCCTGCCTGAGGCAGACACTGTGATTTACATCTGGCAATCAAGGGCTTCAATGGCTGCAACAGCTGCAGCCCTTGACAATTGCCCAATCAGCCTGGATGGTGGCGGTGGCCACACCCAAGCCTTTTGTCTCCACAGGCCAGCAATTCTCTTTCTTAATTAAAGCTAAGTATTGGCTTCACAAAATAATTGTGGAATCAAAGCAGTTCAGTTAAGGAAAATGTCATTTTAGATAACTCACTGACAGCTCAGACCTAGAAGAGAACTTGAAAGTTTGGAGAATGCTACTTGTGTGGTCTCAACAATCTATGCACTGTTATGATTGCTACAATATCCATGGACTTAGTATTTACTTTGCCTAGCTCATGTGTTTGTCACTTACGTAAATTTACTTTTAAATAACTGCAACATTGGAAGTTTCAGAGCATAGCTTTTAACCTGGGGCCATTCCTCACCGCTAAAGGGAGAAATATGCAAAGATTAGACTGGTTTTTAGGAGGTATTGGTCACCATGAAGAGACTCTGTCCTTCCCCTAATCTGAGAGGGAATTAGTAAAGGAATAACTTCACAGCCATTTTAATGGCCAAATATAATTATCCTGAATAGTAAAAGTAGTGAACATTTTCTGAGTTCTGATGTGCATCAGTCCTGGCATGAAGCCTGCTGTCTGTATTGATGCATTTAGTTGCACAATACCCTATGAAAAAGGTAGTATTACTATCCCCACTTTAGTGAGGAAAACACAGAAATAGAATTCACCATGCCATGGTAGTTCCTTTACACTTCAATAAGTGCAATGCCCCAAGGATTGGGGTTCAGCCAAACTATAATTTAAATAAAGCACCTTGTATTAAAGATACCCAAAACTCCTTTGCCTAACTCTGAGCTTCCCCGTGCAACCAGCGGTTCTGGCATCCCACCTGTTCAAGCAGTCTCAGTTGCAGAAATACATACTCCGATGACTGGGAAGCAAAAAGAAGCCTCTATAAACGTGAAAACACATGGCCACTTCAAAGAGAGACAGTGTAGATTACGGAGATGTACGAATTCACATCTGTACGTGGGAATACAGATTTCAAGGTGTGAACTTAATTATAATTACAGTTTGCAGGACTCTGAGATGGGGAGAAAGTGGGTAGAGGGTTGAGAAGATCTTTGTATTAGTTCTTGCAACTGCAGGGGAATCTGTGATTATCTCAGAACAAAAAGTAGAACCTGGAAGGGAGTTGCAGGTTGAGGTGTTCTGCCTATGGGAAGTGTTATTTCACCCCAAACAGCTTTTGCATGTATTTTTTACTAGCGTATTCAACAGTTCTCTTCATTTCTCTCTGGATTTGCCCATCTTATAGGTGGGAAAACTCAGCTTCAAGAGAGCGTTTAACTTACCCAGGGTGACAAAGCCCATAGATGACAAAGCATAGGTTTAGATCCAATTCACTTAAAACGTAACCAAAAGCTAAAAGATGTACAAAGGTCTACATTTGTAGTAAATGGTAGTCACCTTAAGCTTATACCCAGCACCTATTATGCACAGAAGGTGAATGGAACTGATAACCGTGTGTCATTGGTCACCTCCAGCAAATTGAACATGGACAAAGCTCAGAGTTCATGGATACTCACAACAGACAACACAGGGAAGGATCCACAGTCAGACACCAGAGTGCCTTACGCAGGTCTATGTGGAAGGGACTTGACACAGTCTCCAGGTTTCTGTCCTAAAATTTGATTTACTCACGTGACAAATTCTAAAGCCTAGGTAGGCTCTTGAAGGCTCTAATGCCGATCTGGAAAGTACATTTCTGTGTATAAATTCCATGCTTTTATCGAAACAGAAAGATCATCACTGTGCTTGTCCTTCCACAAGTCTGAACTAATTCAGCTGAGCTGGGTTAAGGAATCTTAGTGAGATTTCCTTACAAACTCAACTAGATCAACCTAAATACTTGAAAAGCCCTTATAAATGGAAAGGATTTGATTTTTACACACTCCTAATGCTGACCAGGCAAATTTAAATCCTAGCAAGCAAAACTTTCTTCAACAATTGTTGTCCATTTAATAGAGTAAATATATATATACAAGAAAATCAAGTTCTCTTCCACAGTTCAAACTCCTTACAAGTAGAACTTGTCTTCATTATTGTAATTTAAAATTGCAACCTTAAAGTCTACATTTTAAATTGAAGTCATGCAGCCAATCCATCAGTGACCCCAATATGCTGGTCTCTTAAACATTAACAACCCTGAGATTTAACCTCAAAATAATTGACATTATAGGAAATTGCCCTACTCCATTCCTTTTCTCTTCCTCTTCTCACTTGCTCAACTAAAAGGGAAGAGAGTGAAGAAGTCTTCTGCCCATCCACTCAGGGGGCCCAAGAGAGATTTGCATGGGTGAGGTCCCAAGGTAAAAGAACACCTGTGCATAAGACATCAGCAACAACAGCAGGCTCATGGAGCAGAGCAGAGCAGAAGAGTGAGAGCCAACTGCATCTTTATTGTATAATTGTTATACAGGTTGTTATCTCATATTTACATTCTTACATAGTGCTGTAACCAGCGTATGCATGTTTACCTGTGCTAAGTCACGGTTACATAATTGTATCCCTCTGTGCACCTGCACAGGACAAGCAGGGTCACGTCCTCAGGTGTCCTTAGACCGCCCTGAGCTTTGAAGCAGTCTAAGTGGTTCCCCACATGCTCTCTCCCACAGGCTGAGTTGAAACTTTAGGAACCATGGACCTTAAAGACTGTCACTAATTGCTTGGAGATCTGAAACCAGGACATAGTGATAGCATTATATGCTTCCGAGGTCATCTTGCCTGGCACAGACCCTGAAAGCTCTGGATCCACAGCTGTCAGCTGAGATTAGCCTTGAGCTATGGAGCCTTAATCTCATAGCTTTCTTCTCTAACTTAGTCATGTTCTAACAATGGTGCCCACTGTATGGCCACCATTTTCAATTGTATCTCTAGGAATTCTCCAAGATGAATATGCTTGTTGCCATTTTGCAGATGAAAAAACTGAGGTTTAGAGAAGCTAACTGACTTGTCAATAGAATGAAAGATTTGGACCTTATTGAGACTTATCCAATGCCCACATTATAGATTTTTGAATCTTTCCCTTCCCTTCAGTCCCCACCCCCAAGACTTTTTGCTTTAGCAGTATTCTTTCTCTTACACATGCCTCCCTGGGATCCCATGGGACATGTGACAGTTTCATATTTAAAACTGTTTACATTTTCTCAAAGCAAGTCAATGATAGGTCTGATTGTGCTAATGAAACCACATATGAAAAATCAAATGTCAGGGGGCATAATGATGTTCTCTAAATCCTCCTAAAAGGAGAAGCAAGTATATTCATGTCCTACCTATCACTACCTTTGATATTGGCTTATAACTTATTTTACCTAGATAATTATGAGAAAAAATAACTGCTTTAGTTTTATAGAACAGTGATAAATATCACACTGAACTATGGGCTGTTAATTTGGCAAGGACAATGTAATCAAAGGTTTATAAAGGCTCACAATGATTTTATCTTGGTCATTATGACTTGCATTTTATTTAACACCATGTGTCTTTCTTTTGTCTTACAGACAAATAAGCTTAAAGGACTTAGGTGAGGTGAGTAGCAATTTTTTCCTGGGAAAGAAAAAGGGAATTTCTGTGCATTAAATGACCACAATGAGAAAAATTCTGCTTGCTTCAAGTACTTCATCACACCTAATTCCCACAGTAGCTCTGCTCCAAGCGTATTATCATACCTACTTAAAAGGTGAGAAAACTAAAGTAAAATAAATGACGATCCAGGTTGCAAGCCAAGACCCTATTCCGCTGCCATGCTCATTTTGTGTTTGTTGGTACAATGGGAAGCACACCCGCTCCACAGGGAAGACAGTCTCCACAGATGGCATCCAGCCTCCAGCATGACAGAGACGAAGCGCTGGAAACCACACTGTACCTTGACATTGTCCTTCACGAGGAAGGCAGGACTGCAAAGTAGAAGGCAGATGAGATCCGGTGTCACATGGATCTGGGTTTTGAACCTTGCTCTGCTGCCCACTAGCTTTTGTGAATTTTGGCAAGCATCCCCACCCATCAGGTCTCTATTTCCTCAGCCATAAAAGAGACAGATGTATTTCTTTGCAAAGTTGTTGTGATAACATCAAAAAATCTCAATAAATACACAAATGACCAATAGAGGGTCAACAAACGGCACGAAAGGCAGGTGAGGTACAGCTGTCCTGCAGTTTTCTAGAAGTGTTATGTCCTTAACTTCACAAAGGGCAAATTTCTTAAGAAGAGGGTGATTAGTGGAAGGTTTCTGTCCAACAACATACATGGCCTGACCTCACCCCTTTGGGCTGCTAACACATTCAGTTTTTGTTTTCTTATTTGACTTATGTTCTTATGTCTAGACCATAGAGGCCGATTTGCTTCCTTCCTTCCTTCTTCTTTCCTTCCTTCCCACCTTCCCTCCTTTCTTTCTTCTTTGTTAGTCTCATGAGAATGCTAATATCAAAAGTCACATTTTTAGTTTGTCACTCAAATAAGATATTTATTACATCTCTTTAACACACTAAATGATTAATCATGCCACGAAGGGTAACACGTCACTTCTGGATGAGAGAAACAGCCCTGGTTCTGTACAGGACGTTCTAGGCTCATGATTTCCTGAGAGCTGTTGGAGTTCCTGAGTGCCACCAGGAAGGAGCAAGCTGAGCATAATGCTCTGCTGCTGGGGGAGCCCACACATCCCAGTGCCTAGGCCAGGGACTCTGCCCCTCTCTCCTGTAGGTTGGATTGACGTGCCTCAAGTAGAGATTGGCTGCCCCACTGGTCCATAATGCATTGGTCAGCCTGAGGGGACAATAGGTCTTCCAGTTATCAACAAGCAGGAAGAAATCAGGGAGGCCCTCCTTAAGCAGCTGAGAGCATGCAGGACTGTTTATTTTCTCTGTAACTTTGGTTGGTTTCTGCTAGAAATTGGCATCATCGTCTAAAGAAAAGGATCGAGGACCAAAACACATTCCTGCTCATCTTTTGCCAAGATGCTGCCCCCAAAACCCAAGCAGAACAGCAAACACCACACTTGTGAGCACCTGAAGTGCTTGCTTAATTACCTTGGAGAGTAGATTCTATTGCAGGAGAATACCATCTGCCCCAATTCAAATTCCACTGGCATTTCATAGTTTGCAAAGGAAGGAGAGCCTCGTAGTCTCCTTTCATGTACACAAAACCCTAAGAGAAAAATGAAGCCTGAGAGAGGTGGCAAACTGCCAGAGATACTGCAGCTGGCAGGAGACAGGGCCGGTCCCTGAAATCCACTCGTCCTTGTCTGCTCCCCACAGCCGTGACTCTCTTCCTTAAAAACTACTGAAGCAGCCTGAGCTAAATAATAATATAAGAAAGGAAGGAAGAAAAGAAGTAAGGGAGGAAAAGGGAAGAAAGAGAAGGAAGAGAGAGGAGGAAGATTGGAGGGACAGAGCAATGATGAAGGAGACATTACTGTTTCACTTGATTATATTTATTTTCTAACAGCAAAAAAAGTTAAAGTAGAAAAGCTAGAGAGATTTCACTCTACTTTTTATTACATTGATTTTAAGTTCAGAGGTCTCAACCAAAGAGTTGGCTGGGTCTCAATGAAATAAAACAACTATTCTCCCTGAGCATGATTTCTCTGCCGATAGGATTTACGGTTCTGCTTTCCCAGTGCCTTTAACAAGGCCAGGGACTGCCCTGTCTGATTGAGTGCTTGGAGCAGGCAGATGCAAAGTCCTGGGGAAGACTCAGTGGGGAGACTTCCAAACTGCTCATTAGAAGGGATTCCTTACCCTTTTTACCAGGCCTGTAGATTTACTCCCTCTTGCTATCCATAATAAAATGCATGTCCTCTCCCCTGAACCCTAGTGGATGCCAAAGTCATTAAAACAAAAAGCCCTGTCTTTTGGCTAACTTCAGACAGGACATAAGCTGCTACTCTGAGAAAACTGCTGCTAAGGATTTCTTAACCAAAAAGCATTTGTGAGTCAGGACAGCAGGACTCAAAGTCAGACTGGCCGCAAGATAACAGTGAATGTGGGAAGATGGCTCCACCTCTTTGGGGCTCATCTGTAAACCAATGGCTTTTAATGCTTTTTGGACTTTAAGTCCCTTTGAAATTTTGCTGAGAGGTGTGATAAACCTTCCTCACCTCAAGTATGCATATATTTATAAAGAAGGAACACTTTTATTCTAGAAAATTCATAAAGCTCACTCAACAGTCAAATGATCCTTCCCATCCCTCAGGCTAACAAGTTCTTATCTAAATGATACCTACCATCTTTTCCAGCTGATATTATATCTGAAGGGGAATTCATCAGATTACTTGTGATTAAATAAACCCTTCAGCAAATATTGTCCCTATTTATAGCTCTTTTGCTTTTTCAAGAGTGGAATGCAGTCAAAGATGAAAGGCATTTGATAAATACATAGATTTTCACAACAAAGGGTGATCTGTAATCTACCACTTTTAAGGAAGGAAAGAGAAAGGAAAGGTTTGGGGAGGTAAATAGTTGTTTAAAAAATAATGTAAATATTATCTGCTCATTTTCTTAAACAAAACTCCAGAACAAGTATAAAGAAAAATTAATCATAGCCTCATTGCTTAGACCAAAACTTCTATTAATATGTTGTCATATTTCTTTAAACCTATTTTTCTGCATTCACACACACACACACACACACACACATATACATTTAAAACATACCAACATGTAAATATAGCATGGGTCTAGTTTTTATCTTGAACTTTATATGTAACATTAAGGCATATCTACAGAATAGTATTCGGTTCTCTACATGAACACCTGTAATGCCTTCAGAATATTCCAATAAGCAAATACAGCACAGAAACTGACAATTCTTATGATCTGGGTATGTAAACTGCTTCCAGTGATTGACACTATAAGCAATGCTGTGCCGAACATCCTCGTACATAGAACCTGCTGCAAATTTCAGTTTGGTTCTTAGAAAAGACTCTCATCAAAGCAATTCATGCAATAAGAATAAGAATATCTCTAAAGGCACCTGAGAACTATGATTAAAGTGCTTTCCAAAAGAGTCAAAGCAAGTCACAGTGCCATTGGCTGACTACATGTTTGTCTGTTGCATCACACAGACTGTATAAAAGTTTAATTTTATTTCATCTTGGGGAAAGCCAGATAGATTTTTAAAAATTGAGACTAACACTTCTTCCCAAACTCAGGTCCGGGCTATAGCTCAGTGGCACAGCACCTTGCTTGGTGCTGAGTTTGATCCTCAGCACCAAAAAAACAAAAAAAATTTCCTAAACTCTACTAACAAAATGCTCCAAAAATATTCATAGTATTCTAATCAATCCTCTATCACCAGAAGTTTTACATTACCTTTTTTTTATTATTCAATACAGGCCCTACAAGCAGAAAAAGGTAAGTTGTTTACAATGGTTTTCTTACCCCAGTGCCACTAGCATAAACTCTGTTTCTAGATCTATAGGACTAGTCATTATTTAAAAGGATTGTTTAGAAATGGACATATGTGTGTGTGTGTGTGTGTGTGTGTGTGTACAGTGATGCGAACTAGACAGATGCAAGGCCTCCTAGTGTATTTAAAAGTCCTCCGGTTTAAACAGGGTAATTTATATTGGAGGTGAATCAATCTTCTTTCTTTAGCCACAGTCACCCTTTGCCACTTTGGAAAGAAATTGCTGCCCCACTGCCCTCGAGAAGATACTGGTGTCTCTCATCCTCTGATATCACCCACGCTTGTTACACACACAGAAGTGCACACTGCCAGGGCCACTGCTGTAGCAGCATATAATCCAGCACTCACTGCACAGCAGGATATAGCTGGTACTTTTATACCTACCTTTAAAATACAGTTTCCATTCCCTTAAAAGGATGAAGTGTGCCCAGAGGCAAAGGACCTGCCTCTGGCCCAAAGAGCTACAAATGAGCGGCCCAGTTCCACAGAGCAACATGAGTCAGGGATTCAGAGACCTGGTACCAACTCACTGTGTGATTTTGGTCAAGTTGCATTTCCTCTTTGGATCTCAACACTGCTCATCTCTGTCTACAGGGAAAGTTAAAGAGGGTATTGCCTGAGCTTGTGTGTTCTTGATGAAGGCCTGGAGGTTCATGGGTAACGTTAAATAGCTGTGAAAGCCATGCCCTTTCTCACCATACTAGCTAAAATGCTCATCAGATTTCCCAGGTTATCAGTGCAACACTGCGACATTGCTCAGCTCAGGAGGGGTGAACGCTCTGGTTGGCTGTTAAAGACATGAAACAGTTTTATGGGATGTGGGATTAATAGACCCATCACTGACTCCAATCACATTTCCATTAATCTCAGTCCTTCAATCAAAGGCGTCCAGTTTGTGACCAACCTTGGACACAACCCAGAGTAACAACCAAAATTAAGTCACCTCGGTCAGTGTCATCCGTATGCTTCCTTGGCTTTATTACTTACCATCACCACTCGGAGAGTGTTTTATAGGATTTCCTATTGTGGTACTATTATTATAAGCCCTTTTAATTCTGGATGGCTGGTTAGAATCTACCTGTGAAGAAAAGGAAATAAAAAGCAGCAACACCAGCAGCATCTGTAATTCCTAAATAACTCCAGTTTGTACACTTGGCAGAACTTTTTCAAAACTTGACGATCAAGGGGAGAACATGGAGAAAAAATGTACCCCTGGTAGTCACCCTCTGGGAACTTCTGGTGTACCTCAGCATTCTGGACGCTCACCTGTCCTGCCACAGGACCAGCTGGAGGACGTGGGTGGCAAGTGGTGGGTGGCAGGGGGTGTCTCCATCTCTTACAGCAGCCCCCTAGGTTAACTCTCTCCTCATCAAGATCCTGGTTCAGAGATCTTCACCCTAAAGGCCTTCTTTACCCACATATACAGCCCCACTGCACCCTAAAGTGTACTTTGATTTCTTTATATCACTCACACTTTCTTCTGTTGATCCACTTACACATTTATTTCCTGTTTCCTTTCCTTGGCATATAAGTGCCATGTCCATCTCCTCTACTAACCCCATATTCTGGCAGGGTGCCTGTCCCGTAGAAGGTGTTCAGTAAACGTTTGTTGAGTGAAACGAATAAATGGATGAGGATAAAGCCAGAAGTCTTTTATGCACACTGGTGTAAAATATCCCCTAAAATACCTTCCAACACAATATTCTGTATTTCTGAGGTGGTAAGCACTCAATCCAATTTTCCTCTCTGTGGAGAGAAGACACCCCCAGAAGTTGGGAGAGCTCTAGAATATATGAGCTATGGTTTCCACTGACCACCAACAGCCTCTTAATAATCACCTGACATCAGTGAGGTGAAGTTACAGTGCTGGTTGGGCTTCTGATCATCCTCAGCCATTTTTAATATTCAACCTGACCAAATTATGTCCTGCCTTTAGTTTCTCATCACCAGATAAAGCCTGAATCATCTCACCCATTGGAAAACCAAAATGCTCAGAAGACTCCACTTGCTGTTACCAGGTAAGAAGCCAGGAATTTGTTAGGTCAGGCCGTGTGCTATCTTGGACAGTGACTGCCAAGACTTGAAAACAGAGAATATCTCTGGCCTTTGATTCTGAAGCTGTGTAACATGAGAATCTTGGCAGTTACTGAATGCTGTAATATTGTTCTTTCTGCAATTTACAAGTGATTGATTTAGTGTGAGAGATTTGAAGGATTTTTTTATTTTAAAAAGAATAATAATAAAAAAGAGCAATAGCAAAATACTAACAATGTAGACAAAATAAAACAAAACAAAAACAATAGGAATGATAGAGGGTTTCAGAACAAGCAATAGGAATTAACATTGGTTGTTACATGACATATTGTTATCTTCAACAAAGTTGCTCAGATTATTAGATGTAAGAATGCAAGAACATATGCTAGTCAGTCTTGGAGGAGCAGTTGGCTGTTTCTTACTATTCTCAGTTGATGTCTACATCAAAGCATACAGTCACTGTTGAACACAGATGACCAGGTATGGAAAACGCCATTCTATGAGTGAGTAATTGTCTGATCAGGTTATGGTATAATTGTCAACCCAAAGCAAAGGCTCTGTCAGATGATTCACTCACTGAATCTTGTTTGCAAGTAGAGGCTTCCCTAACAGAAACTAGGACTCCCAGGTGAGTTCCGACAGAGTTCCAGACCTCTGTCCTACCTCTTCCCTTCAGTCCCAGCTCTAAGCCTCAGGCTGCCCCCAGCCAGCTACTACACTTCCCTCACTGCAGGGCACTGCTCGCCCCACTGCCCTGCCTGGAACTCTTCCCCCTGCTTTTCATCTATCACACGCCAGCCTAAAACCACACTCCCACCAGGAGTTAATTCTTTTCCATTTTCCAGACAGAAAAAATGAGGCCTAGAGACACCGAGTCCTTTACATTTGAAGCTGAATCCAACTCCAAAACCCAAGCATTTCCGGTAGCCCATGTTGTCTACAATGACTTGATTCTGAAAATGCTGTCTATGAACCATGATTCTTGCTGGTGCCTGACGTCACCACCATTGAGCAGCGTTACATCTTCACACGGGAAGCTCAACCAGATCCGTGTACCCAGAGCCCAGGCAATGCCAGCTCTCATTGCTGTTCCAGGGTCCCAGGAGTGGCAGCACTGTGACCTCCCCGACTCCTTCTCCTTCATTTGCTTCCATGACCTTTTTTGCACCTTCGCTAAATTGGCTATCACCCTTCAGCCTGTGGGTATTAGGACTATTGCTTTATAATACTCTTAGGCTGTTCAAGCCCCAATCTGACACTGTTCCTCCACAGACTATGCTTTCTTGGCTGAACCTGACCAAGTAATCCCAGCACTCTAGGAGGCAGATGCAGGAGGACTACAAATTAGAGGCCATCCTGGAAAACTTAGCAATGTCGTGAGACCCTGTCTTACAGGAAAAAAGAAAAAAAGACTAGCGATATCACTAAGTGCAAAGGCCCTGGGTTCAATCTCCAATAGTGAAAAATATTCTTGATAAAATTTTTACAAGGAAAAAAAATCATCATATTACGTTGAATAATGAACTCTTTAGATTTATACATGCAGTCGTTGTTTGAGGTGGTTTGGGATTATATTATTTGCTTAACTGATTGAATAAAGTCAACTTATTTTAATTCTTCACTTCACATGCTGCTCCCTCTAAGTCCTCTTCTCAGACTTATTTCCCAAACTCAGTCTAAATGTTGGTGCTCCTCAGAGGTCATCGGAGGTCCTCTTTGCTCATCCTCCTCAGAGTCAAATGTTGGCTTTGTGTTTGTAATGCCCAAATCTCCGTCTTCTGCCCAAACTACCCTTCTTGGCTCCAGATCACCACTTCCAATTAAACAATGGGCAAAGTTCCTGAGAGAGATCACAGGCATTGCAAAGTAGCCACTTAAAGAATTAAATTCCTCATGTCTACGTTCATCCCAGAACCAATGCCGTCTTCCTGCAAACTTTCCCACTTCAGCCCAAGGAAGCTCTTCCCATCCAATCCATTTCCAGCTTCCCAAGTTCTACTTGCACACAAGACTTGAGCCTATCAATTTTCCCTTCATTTCTCCACCTTGTAAAGTAGACCAGCACCCTCACTCCTGCCCTGACTATTGCAATAACCTAATGATTCTGAGACTCTCCAAGCTTTGCCTTCCATGCACATGGAATTACTGCCTGGACTCTGGCCAAATAAGTCACATTTTCTTACCTCCGATCCATGGCACATGGCACTCTATCTGCCCAAAATACGCTCTCTCTTCTTTTCACCCTTCAGGGCTCAGCTCAGTTAGCATCTCGCCCAGAAGCCTTTGCTGAGAACCAGAACAGTTCCATCTTTTAATGACTCGTCTACCACAAGAGCTGGTGCTGTGTGCACCTCTACTGTGGAATTCGCCAAGTGTGACACAGTTTGTCTTCTCTGCACAAAACACACTCCACTAGGGCAGAGACCATGCCTTCCTTATTAAACATTCCCCAAACATACCATGCATCCAGTAAGGTCTCAGGTTTCATTTCATACTTAAATGAAAGGGTCATCATTTTAACCTTAGATTGAGGACTTTTTTGTTTCTGCACTTATAAACTATGTACCAGAGATCTAAAATATCTTGAGGATATTCATCATCATTCGCTACTTCTCAAAACTTCTGAAAAAATAGAACAGAGAAAGTTTGCAGCTGATAAACTTGTCACAGATATTTAACAAAACCCCAGTAGTTCCTAGTATAAGGGTAGTATTTTCCTATAGTTGAGAGTTTGGATGTCAGAAGAATCGACTGTGTTTTCAGCACAGTGTGGCTGTGGGATCATCCGCTGGCATTTTTGCCTGCAAAGACCTAGACTTTCCTAGACAGAGCAAAAATCCAGATACATATAGAGTTGATTTCACTGGTGCTAGAAAAAGGTGCAGTTTCATTTAATTAACCCAGAGACCTTTGCCAATAACACAGCCCTTGGAATGGAATGTGCCCTGCATAATTAGATTTAACTCTGTTAGCACCTGGAGCTTATATTGACAGTGTGAATCACAGTACAAAATGAACCAGAAAATGAGAGCACGGTGGGAAGCTAGGCTATTGATGTTTAGTAAAGCTATTGATGAACAATCTTGCTAATACTCCTCTTGTGTTTGGAAATGCATATTGCTGTTTTGATTGGCTCCTATCATCATAATTCTCTTTTTCCTTTATGGAATTCCTTAGAGTACTCCATACCACTTTCCCACTGAGCTCACATTTCAAGAAGTAATAAAATTTATAAACTCATCTTTCTGTCTACAACTAGCTCTCAATCACTAAACAAAGTCAATAGAATATAAGCCCAACCAAATACCAATTTCTGTGACTGTAACTATAAGGCATATCTAAACTCTTGGCTTTAAAAGGTAAAGAACTATGAAATGTGTTTGCTGACAGGATATGGGAGGCACTTAGGCTGATCAAATTATTCCAAATCTAATATTTGCCAGTATGAAGAAAGGAGAACAGCCAGGCTCTCATTACCTTGGAAAACCAACAATTCTTCTAGCACATTCAGTAACATGAATATGAAGTGCTTTATAAATGTAACATCAGAGCCTGACCATAGACCCAGCCCCCACTTGGTATTGTACCTGGCATGGGAAATCCTAACACTACTAATTCTACCATTTCCTTTAGTTCTTCCTCCATGCTGAGAAACCACAATACACAAGACAGAGGTAAGAATTATGAAATTAACAGGTAAGTAGTTACCATGCTATGATAGTCCTGCATTGTGGCTTATCTTTCATGGGCCTCAGAGTCATGGAGCTGATGTGTATAGATGTGGTTAGCCCATTTTTGTTGGCTGATAGCATTTCATTGGGTTAATTTGACATCATTTCACGTAACCAAATCTAGTGACAGAGGTCATTTCCAGTTATGTTATGAATATTGTCTTTCCATGACATGAGATGTCTTCCCATATGTACAATGGATCACTTCTCTCTCTAAAATAGAATTTGCTGGGGATACGCTTAGGCTGTCTGTCTCTTCAGATGTACTTTCAAAAGTACATATGTCAATATGTATTTATGTACTTATGTACATATGTCAGTGAGTCACCCACGGTTTATGACTAATTCCACCTTTGCTTTTTTTCCTCTCCAACAGTTGTTTATGAAAAGCCTTTAACATTTCCAAGTCCATTGGGTGCAGCATAGATTTATCTCAAAAAAAAAAAATCTGTGAAATGAAGAAATTACAACTGATCTCTCTTGCTAGTTGCTTATAAAGCTAAAACTCAAGATAGAACACCATGTTTGTGTAGATGTCTCAGTGCCGTGGTTTAGATATGAAATGTCCCCCAGCGGCTCTCTGTTGAAGGTTTGGTCCCCTATGCAACACTGTTCAGAAGGGGGCCTTTTGGGAAGCAACTGCATCATGAGGACATTAACTTTATCAATGTGTGAATTCATTCATGGATTCATAATTGGAGGGCATTAGTGGGAGGCGATGGAAACTCTCAGAGGTGGACCCAAACTGGAGGAAGTAGGTCACAGGGGCAAGTCCTGGAAAGGTATCTCTTGTCTCAGCCCCTTCCCCTCTCTTTCTCTGTTTGCTGGCTGCCAGCTGGAGCAGCTTTGGCCTAATCACTTACACCCCACCTCCAGGATGACCAGCTTTGCCTCAGGCCCACAGCTATGGGACCAAGCAAAAATGGCCTGAAACCTCCAAAATCATGAGCCAAAACAAATCTTTCATCCTGTTAAGTTGATTTTCTCAGGTTTTGTCACAGTGATGCAAAGCTCTCACTAAGGCAGCATATAAATAGTGTCATATGACTATCAGTGTGGGTTTTGATTATTAGCATTATTGTGCCCTAACGAAATCCACTACCCTATATTCTACTCTCTACTCTATATATTCTATGTTCAGGTCTAGCCCTATAGTCTGTCTCTTGAGCCAAAAAGGAGAATTTAGGCCTGAAGGAAGCAGACACCTTAGCATAGAGCAGGGAGGGTGAGGACCTCTACTGATCTTAGTCCCAGTTCTGCCTCTGTCCCTACCATACAATCATCTGGAACAAGTTCATTCTTTAAGCTTCATAGTCCCTCATCCACAAAATTCAAATAATAGCTCATAGATTAATACCCATGTACGGCATGCATGCCCTTGCACACACAGAGAGACTTGCTTGACACATAGTAGGCAAGGGATATATTTTATTTATTTTTTATTCTTCTTTTTTGGTACTGGGGATTGAACCCAGGGCTTTTACACTGAGCTATATACCCAGCCCTTTTAAAATTTTTGGTTTTTGAGATAAGGTTTCACTAAGTTACCAAGTTGCCCGGAGTGCTGGGATCACAGTATGTACCACCATGCCTGGCAATGGGTACATCTTAATATCCTTCCTTCTTTTCTGAAGTCTCTGTCCTCCTCCATGCCCAGGTGATCTTAGTGGATTTCCAAGTTTTCTCCTTCCACATCTGCCATATGGCATCTGGGACTTATGATTTTGTAGCCTAAATCCTAGGTGATAAGCCCATCTCCCCTAATACATAGACTACAAATAGGAGTTTCCCAAGAGGTGACTCCTAAAAAAATGAACAAAGAGTACTGTGATTACCCCAGGGAACTCCAACCCTAGGAGCAGTACTAAAACTCAGATCTGGGTTATGAACATGAAAGACAGAAAATTCAGGTGGTAAGTGCAGGTACTGAACAGGCCCAGAAAGAGCATTACTTCAGGGGTGGTGGGGAGGTGGCCCTGAAATACATTGCAAGAAGAGGGAAGCAGATAACTTAAAAAGGAATCCAGAGTCTTAACTTGAAAGACTAAAATCATGCCCAAATGCAGAGTAAAGAGGAATGAAGAGAGAACGGAAGTGTTGGTGAAGGGAACCGCCTTCCCAGCACAAGCCCGGTCAACATCCTAGAGCTGCGTGTAGGTTTTTGTACCGGAGTCTTTTAGATGGTCTTCCACTCATCTTGGAGAAAGCAACTTTCCTTCCTGAAGCCCAGAATGGGCAGGGCAAGTGTCTTGGCTGATTATTTCCTCTTTTAGTCAAAAGACATTTACCAAGCACACGGTTTATAACCAAAATGAGTCTGGGCCCTAACTGTACTCTTACACTTACAGAGACAGTCCCACCCCTCTATTAAGCAGTTCTTAATCACCTGCAGTGCTCTCCATCAGCTTACTACTGACTGCAAGGGCTTCTCCAGATCACCACACTGGCAATATTAGGTGTGCAGAAAGTTGCTCTCAATCTCTGCACTTGGAGACTTCTCAGTCCACTGGGGACTCTAAAGCCTCTTGGCTTTCATTTGAATGCCTCCCATTGAACTCTGAAATCTACATCCTTGCAGATATAGATAGATATTATTACCCTTATCTTAAAAATGAGAAAAGAATTTAGGGAAATTTGGCTAGATATGGTTGCACCCACCTGCAATCCCAAATCTCTGGAAAGCTGAGACAGGAAGATCGCAAGTTCAAGGCCAGCCTTGAAGTAAGGAGACACTATCTCAGAACGACAACAACAACAACAAAGCCACTTTAGTTATTTTGATGATTTCAGTCGCTGTTGGATAAACACATTTGGCTCAGTTCTCTAAGAAATGAACTCAAGCTAAACTATGAAGAGTCTAAGCAAATGAATCGCAAAAAAACAAACAAGAGATTGACATAAAAAAGAGGGTCAAGAAATGTTCAGTTATATGCCACAACCCTAAAAACATTACTCTTTCATTTGGCCCATGTCTTCGGAGGATTCCACCCATGCTTGGCTGGCTTCAAGGAAGAAATGGCATGATGGATGGATATGGTAGAGAAGCTTTACTCACCTAAGGGCATCTAGGAGGCAGAGACAGAGGCTGCAGCCAGGGAGGGAGACACACCCTCCAAAGGCAGGTCCACAGTGACACCTCTCTTCCAACCAGGCCCCACCTTGTAATAGCTCACTGAGGAGTGTACACACCCATGATCCAATCACTTTGCAAAAGCTCCACCTCTGTGCACGTGAGATTTCCAGGGCACTTTGTAGATCTAAAGCATAAAATTAGCATCACACACAGATAGCACATAGGAAATGATCAGCATAGCACAGATCAGGGACAGGTTCTATGATCTTTCATAGCATTAGCTATGAAAGAGTTTTTAAAATATTAGTAATTATTGACAGTATGATTTTACAACTTGTGCCTTTTGTTATTCGCTTTCCTGTTTTCACATGATATTGATCACTTACCTCCAAAGTCCTTCCATTTAATTGTCAGTCTTCATGGCTGTGCACTTCCCTCTTCCATCTAGGAGAATCGTACTTCACAGGTCATAAACTCAAACGCACGTTTAATGTATGAAGAACTTTGCAAAGCTTAACTACTCCCATTATTTTAGAATGAAACCAGTTAACTGTTTTTAGTGGAACACAAGCTTAGAATTTCATTCGTTCATTCAACAATGACTCAACCAGGCCTTTGTAAGAATAGTGTGTGACAGTTGTTTTGTTTTGTTTTGTTTAACTCATTCTCTGAACAGGCTACAAATGCACAAATGTTTCCAAGTGGGTCTTTTTAAAGTAGGACTTTTTAAATATTCAAGCAAGGCACAGAGGATCGAGAAATAATAGAACAGGCAATGGATTTTGGAAATCCATTGCCAACATATCATGAAAAATTCATAATCACTGAACACTGTTATGAAAGGAGCATAAACTAAGCGATAGAAAATGCTGATAATGATTGTTTTCTTCTCTCAAGAATGTTCTCACCGCTTCAACCCATGTTGAAAAAATAGTTTTGGCCTCTGTTTACTGGCCCGCTGCAATTTAAAATGAAGTTTTAATGTCCATTTTATGTCACTATATCTCTGTTCGCTTTCTCTTATTAGGGTTGCCTCCTTTGTAGTTCTCCATCCTCTTACTTGTGATTTCTCTGTGCCGCTCTACTTTACATATCTGCATTAGCACAACTCTGGAATTTTCAAACCAACCTACATCTGATTTTTAAAGGCTAAGTATGTACCTTTGATATTTATTGTAATACTAACATTTCAATATCTTTTAAATTACTTTGTTTTTCCCACTTAACCTACTTTTCATTAACTGTTTTTTTTTTTCCCCAGTCATATACTGATTTTATCTCCACCTTCCTCTCCATTTTAACCCTTTTTTTTGGAAGTTGTACATTCCAAAATTATGCTTCTGTTTGTACCTTTAACATTTTAAGTAAAGGTAAACTTGAATTTTAAGAATCTGAAGTTTATATTTCCTTCCTAAATGATACAGAAACTTAAATGCTTTGAGGATATGGTTTCTTACCACTTAAAAGTTAAACTTTGTCACCCATAGAAGTTTAGAAGGAAGGATATCTTTAGTTTTGTTACTATTTTTAAGATCTTAGATTGCTAAGTGGAATTTAATACTGAAAAAAGTGCAATTAAATTTTAAGAAATTGGTTTTGTGCAACAATTATTTTGATATAGACACACAATCTTTATTAGGTCAACTTGAAAAGGCACAGTCACTGGTACCATTAAAATAGAAATTTCAAGGGATCAGGAGTACAGTTTGTTCTTCTCAGTAATCTTGGAGAGAAATTCGGCTTTTTTATGTCAAGAAGTGGAATAAATACAGATAAATATTAAATATTATGGTAGCTGGCAAGTCCATTTTGCTCTTTGATTTAATATTGATTTCATCTAAAATTGTATTGGGTCCAAAGTTTTTATTAAGCTGTTAACTAGGATTGTAACTTCAGCTGTATTTTTCAAACTGCTTATAATTCTATCGCAACACTGACCACCTCTTTTCCATTTCATGTGATTTCTGTCCAATATTTTACTTATGTAGGATTTTATACTATCAAGTTTTTATTATTTTCAGTGGTTATTCCTACATAAAACTACTGACATACTTACAAATATCTTTGTTTATTATTTCTACTGATACCACTCTCCATCCCTATGGTCTAAATTTCATTGAATTTACATTTTATTTGTTTTTACCAGGAGGACATCCAATTTGTATTAACTAATTAGTTAATTCAGTAATTTATACATGTGGTACTGGGGATTGAACCCAGGGAGCACTGAGCTAAATCCCCAGCCACCCATCCCTTTGTTTGGGGGGACTTTTGTATTTGTTTGTTTGTTTGTTTTTATTTAGAGATAGGATCTTGCTAACTTGCCAAGGCAGCCCTCAAGCTTGAGCTCCTTCTCCTTCAGCCTTCTGAGTAGCTGGGATTACAGACATTTGTTATGATGTCTGGCTAGAAGTATTTTACTTTGACTGAAGTATACAGAGAAATTACATACAAAAATTTGATAAGAGGTAGTGTCTGAAAGTTTAGGTGCCAAGTGAAATGAAAACCCTGTCAATGAGCTCCTGGTGTTCTGTTAGTTTCACACGCACTGGTCTATTTTGCATTTGAATTCATCTTTTCTCAGGCATGATTCTGTAGCATTGTGCAGTGATCACTTGGAAATAATGGTTCACAAACAAACCCATCTTCCAGTGTTAACACATATGTGTTAATGTCTGAAATCACTTACAAGGAAGAAGAGGTTTCATTTCAGCTCACATCTTTAGTGGTTTTAGTTCATGGTCCCGTGGCCCTGTCACTGGGGCCTGTGGGAGACAGCAGCTCATCACAGCAGGGCAGCTGAGAGCCAGAGAGTATTGAGGTCCTAACAGACTCTTCAAGGGTGCTCCTCGTAAGCTGACTTCCTAAAATTTCTTCCACCTCCCAACAGTGCCATTGGCTGGGATCAAGGTGGCAACCTATGAGCTGTTGGGAGACATTTAGATCCAAACCATAACAATAGGTATTACATAATATTTTTAAAATTACATTTGCAAATAACACCACCATTTTCATCAGAAAAGTCTTATTGCCAGAATACTATTATGTTTCAAAGGCAGCAGCAGGCGTTCCCAAATTCCACTTTGCACTTGAAATGTCTAAATGTATGATTGGCAGCAAACCCTGCCCCTCGTTTCCAATGGAGTGTCTAGCTCCCTGTCTGCATTTTGAATGAACTACCTTCCAAATATCCAAGTCTGAATAGTCCCAGTTATTGTACCATCCAGGTTTTAAAAGGAGTGAGAGAAAGGCAGGCTGAGAGAACAATGCAGTCATGGTTAAGTGTGTTTCCTCTTCCGGATTATAAAGGTGGCACGCAATCCTCCTGCCCTCGGAGATGCCAGTCTCCAACCAGCTGTGGACCTGGTGAAAGCTCATTGCCCTCTACACACACCAGCTGGAGAAAACCTCTGCCCCTGAGATCTGCTGCAAAGGTGAGGCAGACACTCCCTGCCAAGGCCTTCTACGAGCGCCTAGCATCCCGGTAACCCTTCACTGACCAATGTCCAAAGAAGTTTATTATGATTGGTGTTAAATTTTCCCCCTCTAGCTGTTGTTATTGGGTTTTAATATTGCTAAAAGAATTTGAGAGACCAAATACCTGATGTCATGTCCCTCATTCTTGATAACTATGTGACAGAATTGGACTTTCTAAGCCTCCAGGGTCCTTGTATAACTAGGACTAACACTACCTGTCATCCCTCTTGTACAAAGACGGTGGAGGGATGGTTTGGGATATTGAATAAAGAGCTTTTTGGAATAATGATTTAATATGGGGATCCTTGGAACCCAGTGAAGGAATTGCAGGTCCATAGTACATCTCTCTTATTGTCTTTCCTGCTCTCTGCTATGACAGATTTTATAATCAAAATAATTTAAAAGCAATCATCATCGATATAAATAAGACAGTAAGGCATGCAGAGAAAGCCAGTTCTACTGTTACTCAGATTTCAGCTGTATCACATAGCTCCAGGAGAGTGGCATGAAGATACTATAAGTCTGCACAAATCTCCCCCTCCTGCTGTTTTTATGATGACTAAGGCAGCTCAGACTTCACAAACGACATACCTCCCACCTCAGTGAGACTTGACAGGTACAGATTCAGAAAACCTTGATAGACGGAGGGCTTGTTATCTATTCTGAGGGAGGTGGTGAGGGGCCCTTCTGAATTAATGGAGCACAATTTCTGGTTACTCCCTACGCAGACAATCCTCTCACACCCATCAACTTCAGAATCCCGGATGTTGGTTACTTTTTCTGGGTTCCTTTTCTCCTAGCATCAGTGGGCATCTCCAAGTTGAAGAACAAAATCTTATGAGCTACTTATCATAAATGCCCAGAAGTAATGGGTGCTGATGGAACAAAAGTAAAATTTGAATTAATTCATCCATAATCTGTATCTCCCTTTGATCCTCAAATACTTTTCATTGAACCTGTACTGTAGGATATTCAGCACAACGAGTGGTACATTGGAGAATATAGCCGCCAGGTAGTAGAAGACGCGTTAATGCAGGAGAGCAAGGTAAGAGTTCTCCGGGGCCATTGGCATTGCTTCTGTAGTTATGTTTTTCTGATTGTAAGTCACAAGGTATAAGCAGCATTCTCTGATACAGTGCTGTCTGCATCATCTTGAACTTTCTCAGTCCTAGGGAGGTTGTAATTAAAAAGGAAATTTAAGTGTTCAGGATGTATCTCAGTGGTAGAGTGCTTGCCGAGCACATGAAAAGCCCTGCGTTTGATTCCCAGTTCTACAAAAAAAATGGGGGGATATGGTATTTAGAAATGGAAAGTTTCAGATCTAAGACTTGGTTTTGTCATTTATGAGCTGTGTGATTTTCTCTAGCTCATAAATAATTTTACCTATAGATTTCTTTATTCAATGTGGCAGCTGGGACACGAAGGTCACAATGATGGTGCCTTTTTTTCTTTAAATTCTATCTTCTTGTAAGAGATGTAAGCGCGACTTTGTCTTCCTTCCTAGGAAAAGAGCAGGGATCATGAAGACTGCAATAGTCAGTGTATGATAGGTTATACTGCAGTAACAAACAACCTCAGGATCTCAGTCTTCTGTGATAACAAAATGTTCTTCCTTGTTTGCATTCCATATTGAAGACATCTTTGGGGGGGTTAATCCAGGCTGCTGGAGGGATTAGTATGTTCCGAACTTCATACATGGGCTCTTTGCACATCCTCTCAGAAGTAACACACTTTCCCTCTGCTCATATATCGTTGTCCCAACTTACATAACCAAACCTAACCTTACAGGGAGTAGGGTAGTACAAGCCTGTGATATAACCAAAAGGAGAGAAGAACGGAATACTTATAACCAGGCAAGTGACTATCACAGCCATCATCAGAAAACAAATAATTATTAAGTGACTATTATGTACTGGGAAATATACAAGGTTACTTAGAAGTGATAGAAAGTTTCTCAAGACTAATTCAACATCAGAATTTCTCCACAGCTAATCAACAGTCAGAAAAGACAAAGATGAATGAGGTAGTTAATTACTGAACAGCAAACAGGCCTCTAATTACATTGAATAAGGGCTCTCAGAATTGAAGCTGTAAAAATAAATCATACGTAAGTAATATAATTCTGTGCACCAGATGTGAGAATGTAAGATTAATCAGATAATCAAAGACAGTAACAAGTAATAAGAAAAAACACTGGAAATGATGCAGAGTTTCACCATACAATATGGTAGGAGTTCAACAATGGCTCTTATACTGCATATTGTTGTCTTCAGATTAGTCATTCTGAGTACCAGATGCAAGCATGCATACAGTATGTAATGTGGCAACCATTGTTAATTCCTATCATTTTGTTTTGAGGTCATGTATTGTTATTGTTGTTTTTGTGTTATTTTGTTTTTGCCTTAATCGTTGTTTTGGGGTTTTTTCTCTTTAAAATTAGAAACAATAATAATAATTCTGTGGTAAACAGAGTCATGACCTCCCCCACCCTGAAGGTGTCCACATGCTACTCCCTAGAGACTGTGAATATGTCACCTTAGGTTACTTGTGGATGTGATTAAGTGGAAGATCTTGAGATAGAGGGTCATCCTCTGCTATCTGGGTAGTTCTGACATGATCATAATGATCCTTACAAGAGGAAAGCAAAGGGTCAAAGTGAGAAAAGAGATGTGATAGTGGGAGTGGAGGTCAGACTCGTGGGGAGCCACAGACCAGGAGTTCTGGTGGCCTCTAGCAGCAGGAAAAGTCATGGAAACAGATTTTGCCCATTAAAAGTTCTAGCCCCGGGCTGGGGATTTAGCTCAGCGGCAAAGCACCTGCCTGGCAAGCACAAGGTCGTGAGTTCGGTTCCTGGTACCGGAAAAAAACCAAAAAAAAATTTAAAAATAAAAAAATAAGAAAATAAAAGTTCTAGCCCAGTAAGGTCCATGTTGGATTTCTGACTCCCAGAACTGAAAGAATAAATTTACTGTTTTGAGCAATTTATTTCATGGTAATCATGGTAATCATGTTACATCGTGGTAATCATGTTACGTCTGCAGTAGGAAGTGAACAGAGTTGTCAGCAAAGTATCTTAAACATATTAAGAATAAATGGAGTTATTCCATTTCCTGGATGAGGAGACTGTTGCTAAACCAAGATCTCCATCACAAAGTGGACAAAGTAGCAGAAACTGTGCTCAAAATTAGCTGCCTTTTCACAATATTTCACCTGCCCCTGGTAGCCATTATGATTCTATACAGCCGGATGGGAAGTTGTGGGTGGCTGGGTGATGCTGCGCCCCCAGGGCCTCCCCTTGCAGTCCACAGAACCTGCCTGGGTGGAGTGGCAGGCGCAGAGGTGCTGGACTTGGGCTCCCTTTGTGCTATCCCTGCCTGAGGTACCCTGGCATCTGAGGGTCTGTTTCCCCCCACCCGAGCTGCACTTGGAGGAGCTCCACATAGGAACCCACATGTGCACCAAGCTAACAGAACAACCCACACACATCACCTGGTGTCCCTTGGGTGACACTCAAGTGTCACCAGTGTGTCCAGTGAACATTCCCTTCCCTCCCGTTGTGCCTGTTTCTTCCCAAGAAGCCCTGGGAAAAATAATCTCAGTTGAATGACTTCATATTTTCTTTTCCACGGCTTCCTTTCCTGTTTCAGTTTGTCAAAATGTGTTTCCCATTTCTGAAAGAGATCTTCATCTAAATTGCAGGGTTGCTCAACTTTATTTTGACAAATTCATTGCAGACTTGAAAATGATAAAATCAACACTTGGCTGTGAGTCTGGGCCTTCCCTCCCTCTCTGATCTTTGGCAGTGATCGGTGCTGTGGCTGAATGTTTCAGCAAGAATCAAATTCCAGAAGAGATCCCAGTCATGCTTTATATACTTGTGGGCAGCTGGGTTTAATGAATAAGAATCTGGGGTGACTTTAAATATTTCATGTACTGACTGTGAGGCTTAAGGGGCTTCACTTAGTTCTTACGCCCTAATGCCCTTACCTATAAGATGAGGATAAAATATTCCACTTGGAGTTTACACAAAGATCAAATGAAACTGTATGTGAACTGCTTAGTCTTGAGGGTAACCTTAGCTTCCCACACAGCCATAACATCTAAAGAGTATCATGGTATTAGTTTCATACCATTTAGTGTATTTATATTATTACATAGCATTATTACCATTGTGATGTATATGAATATCTGTGTCCATAAATATCAATAATTATTATTATATAGATAGCATATATAATACTGTAAATATTAATTATAAATCATATAATTATAAACACATATTACATATAACCCTATAAATATCAATTGTAGATAATATAATTACTGGCTAGGTGGTGCATGTCTGTAATCCCAGCACTGGAGAGGCTGAGGCAGGAGGATTATGATTTCAAGTCCTATCTGGACTATATAGTGAGACCTTTTCTCAAAGAAAGAAACAAATAAATATATGTATACCTAAAGAATTATATATAGGTACTATATATAACCCATGCCTATATATATAGCTATTCTATATAATATATGTAGAGAATGGTATAACTTTTTATAGATCTAAGTCGTTATTTAACATCTGTATCGACCATTTACAGCCACCTGTGCCGTGACCCACACAATCGCACTTACGAGTTTCTCCATATTTTCCATCATGGCGGCGAGACAATGTGACCGTAAAGCTCCGCCCTGTGGTGCCAGGTCCGGAAGGACCAACCCCCTCTCGGCCCTTCACCGCAGGCTTCCTCCCCAGCGATCCTGAGCCATTCCCAGCCTCCCTCAGACTTTCCACCCTGCTGATTTTCTTTTGTAAACCTTTGCTCAACATGCTCACCTTGTGCAGTGCTAAAGCTCCCCATTTTCCTCATCGCTCTGACACTCCAGGTTTCTGTCCTGTCTCTTCCTTCCCCTGCTCTTGCCTTTCCCTTGCCCCAGCGTGCCCCTCTTCCCTCCTGGTAGGGTGCTCTCTTTTTGCAGATCAGTCCCCTCGAAGCCCCTGTTTCTTTGCAGAGCCTGATCCTGGGCTGATGTTTCCCCACATAGAGGCCCAGTTTATTGGCTCTGTTCACAGCCTGCTGTGGCTCCTCTCCGGCTCTCCAGACCCCGCCCCCAGGGGAACGGAAGTGTGAACACTGACTGATTCCAAGGGGTCTGTGGGTGCGGCGGGGGCGGGGACGGGCGGGCCTGTTGGATGCCAAGGCCAACAGCCCCGCGCAGTGGCGCCTTGGGGAAATGGTGGCTTGGCACGAGCCAGGAGTCAAGCACAGGACAAGCTGGTGCATTTAACCTGAACACCTGCTAAGGTTGTTGGCTCAGGCCTAGGTCAGCAGAGGGCAAGGGGAGATTTGAAAGATGGGAGCACCATGATTGCTTGGTTGACTGCTCACAAAATGATGGAACCTCACTCATACCAACAAGCAAGGAAATCTTACTGAACTAAATTCAGTCAACAACTGGTCTGCCCAAAACAGATGCGAGCATCACTGCTGTCTCCCTTGGAGGATGACTGTTTCTCCTTTTGCTTCAGGATGGTACTTTCTTGGTCCGAGACTGTTCCACCAAATCCACGGCGGAACCATACGTCTTGGTGGTGTTTCACGGGAACAAAGTGTACAACGTGAAGATCCGCTTCCTGGAGAGGAACCAGAAGTTTGCGCTGGGGACAGGACTCAGAGGAAATGAGGTGGGTATGACCTCCCTGCTTCCCTTTCCGGGCCACAAACAACAGGCAAAGATGGCGCTTAGGCGATGGTGGAGTCACATCTCCATGTCACAGCAACCACAGGCCAGGAGAAAAGATGCCGCACTGGAAGAGGAAGATGGAACCCGACCCTTCCATCCCTTCCACCAACATCCCTGCACATGTCTGTGCTTCAGCCCGGGCCAGCGCCCTTCCTTACACCTCGTGCTCCCATGCCGCTTTGGCTACTACTGAAAACTTGCTACAAAGGCATCTGCATTTTGCCTCCCAGGAGACCTCCTTGGAAGGTGATGCCATGGCACCTGCTGTGTCCACCCCTTGCTGGACTCCCACTGCAGGAATTTCCAAAGTCTGCTAGCGTGAATTATCCATAGGATCGCATCCCTGCAGTGAGTGCGAGCCAATCACCACCCTTCAGTGCCACTATGAGTGTGCCCACCCTTGGTGCAGGTCTGCTGAGGGGCGGGTGGGTGAAAGAATGAGTGAGTTATGTCACTTGTTAATAGCTGTAAGTACATTGGTGAGAAAGGAGATGTTTCCACAGAAAATGTCTGCATTCCCTTGTGTTTTAATCCTCAATGACTCTTGGATACAATGGTCATTCCTATTTTATATGTGGGGAAATTGAGACTGAGAACATTAAATAAATGACCAAATACGCACAGGCAGTGACTGGGAGGGGAAGGAAAGGCTGTTCTTTCAGCCTCTTGATGAAAAGCGAAGAAAAGAAAAGCAGGCAGGAAGGAAGGGAGGGGAAGGGGAAAACAGGAAGGAAGAAAGGAAGAAGGAAGGAAGGAAACAAGAAAGGAAGGAAGGAGGAAGGAAGGAAAGAGAGGGAGAGGAAGTAAGTTAGCTCTAAGTCACCATTTACTAAAGATGTCAGCTCAGACAGATTGCATAACTTCTTCCCTCAGCTGAATGTTCTTAGTCTCAACTTGGGTAATTCCGTGGTTCCCACTTAGCATCTCCAGACTGCAATCTTCCCTGTCGGTGTGTGTTAGGAGCCAACTTCTGTCTCACCCTCCCCCAAAATTCCCAAGTTGAAGTCTTAAAACCCAAGAGTGCGGTTGTGGCTGGACCTGGAAATAGGGCCTTTAAGGAGGTAATCATAGTTAAATGAGATGATGGGGCTGAGGCTTCATCCAGCTCGACTGGTTCCTTTACAAGAGGAGGAGACTGGCACAGAGGACACGTGAGGACATGGGGAGAAGACGGCCATCTGCAGGCCAAGGAGCAGACTCAGGAGAAACCAACCTGCCCACACCTGAGCATCGACCGCTGGCCTCCTGCAGTGGGAAGAGACAAGTGTCTGTTATTTAATCCCCCCAGTTATAACAGCCCTCACAAACTAGCATAGTATAAAAGCAGAACTTTCACAGGTCTATCGTTCTCTAATACATACAGAGATAGAGACCACTGCCAGACCTGGACAGGGATGTATGTGAAAACTTTCTGTAAACTGCATGAAGAGTCAGCTCAAATCCACTGCCCGGCCCAAAGCCCTTTTCCGGGAGCCACACACAGCTTAGGGAGGAGTGGGGGCCACTGGCAAGGCTGAAGTGGGGTCAGGTCACTGCCTCTGCTCTAGCCTGGGGCATTCTAGCATGAATGAGCACTAGAGTACACAGATCACTACATACATCTACCAGACAGAGCTCCATTCAAAAGTGTTGCATCAAAACTAAACACACAAGCGGCCAACTCTTCCGTTTGTGGTGAGGATGGGTAAGTCAATAACTACAAAACACTCAAACAGCCTGGGACAGACATATGAATCCCACAATACATGGCAGTTACTGTGTTTTCATGATTACCAGTGAGTCCTTTCAATAACTAGAATACAACCCTACTCAACCAGATACCTACGGCTAATGGACTTGCCAGGACAAGTTTCCTTTCTGTGGTTCCCTCCAACTCATATGATGTCTCATTTCTAAGAAAAGTTTTATAGGATTTTTAAATGCTTAGGTTTAAGTGTTCCTTAGAAAGCCACATCACAGCTGAGCATGAGCTAGGGGCTGTTTACTTTGCTCTCTCACTTGGTCTTTGAAGACATTGTGAAGGGCACATTGTTGAGCCCTTGGACCGGTGAGGACTGCTGACCCTGTAACAAGGTCACCTCTTTTCTCCCCTAAGCCATCTTTGGTTTGCTAATAAAGGAGAGGGAGCAGAGCGACACTGTAATTACATCCTAATAGCATTTAATCAGACTGTCAGCCATTCTCCGGCTGCCCTGGGAAAAGAAGAAAGCAGCTGTCAACTAAGGCAGCCTAAGTCGACCCTCAGCTCCAGATGAGCTGCTCCAGTGGTGGTCACCAAGGGCCCCTCAGGAGACCCAAGACTTATTTTAAGAAGCCCCTTTATTGCATTAGCCCATAATTCTCTGTCCTTTGCATCCCCCAAACGTGGGTTCCCCTCCCCTGTATTTGAACAGGCACCATTCTGTGAGTCATCAACCAGGAACTGACCAGGTCTCCTCAACTCAGAGAGCCAACCTGCGTGGCAGGTGCTGCGTATATCCTGTATCACAGATGATGAAACTGAGGCACAGGAACGTTAAGGAGCTGCTCTAAAGCCCAGCTAGCAAATGGCAACACTGGGGTTGAGTATATTTTGCGAAACTACGGGCTCCTTCATACAGTCTCAAATGTCAGATTGCAAGCCCCACGCCTGTTTGAAAACAGCCCAGAACACTGCAAGTTGAAGAAAACAAACATTTAACTCAGGATCTACTGCTTGCTGGCTCTGGGGAAGAAACAGAAATCTGCAAGTGGTTCTCCCACCTATCCGCAGAAGGAGTTGTGCTCATGCAGAGCAGTAGAAAATCGGGGCTATGTTTTGTCCCCTAGCACCTTTCACAGCCTGAACCTCTGCCTGGCAGAGAAAGAATGTCACATCTCTGTAAGACTCTGACACAGTGACGCTCTGCTCACTGCAAGCCCACCAGCAGCCCCTCCATCAAAGAAATAGCAACCTCACCCACCCCAGCCAAAAATGCAAAATGAGCAAGAGGGATTTCAGGGACAATTTTGAGTTTCTGTGTTTTTAGCTGTCTTGCAAACTTCAGAAGTTAACTGCACAGAGGAGACGGCAGCCCCGACCAGAAGGAGCTATTTGATGTGAGATGAGGAGATGTATATGCCTTGGCAGGTGCATAGAGGCATACATTTGATCCCCTTGCAATTGATCCCAGGAACCTCCTTCCTCAGGGCCATGTGCCCCGGGCACAAGGAGAACACTGAGGGCTGCAGAAGAGACCCAGGCTTGGCCCCAGGAAAGGCTGGGAGCACCTACATCACTCACAAGCAAACCCACTACCAGTGCACAAGCAAAGACCTGGGAAGCTCTACTTGGCTGCATGCTAAGGCGCTTGGGTCATTCCATTTGCCAGGCGGCTAGACATTCCTGCCTAACTTCAGATTCAGGGATTACCCACTGGATTGGTCTTTTTACTCTACTATTATAAATTATCACCAATTGTGTGGCTTGAAACAAGAGAAATTTATTCTCCCACAATTCTAGAGGCCGGAAATCAAAAATCAAGACTTCAGCAGGGAGATGCTCCCTCTGGGGGATCTGGAGAAGAACCTGGTGGCTATGAGCCGTCCTCAGCTCCCTTAGCTTGTGGCCACCTCTCTCCAGCCTCTGCTCCTCTGTCACATTGCCTCCTCTTCTTCTCTGATTAAAATCCCCCACTGCTCCTATCTATTAAGGATACACATGACTGCTTCTAGGACCCACCAGGATGACCTAGGACCAGCTCCAGATCCTTCACTTAACACCATGCTTTACCACATAAAATTATATTTGCTCTTTTAGCATTAAGAGTAGTTCTAGATCCTCGGATTAGTATGTAGGCATGTTAATGATGGGCACAATTCAGCCCACTATGCTCAGTTATTCATTTAATGGCAAACACTGATTTTATGCCTACACTGTGCCAAATGCGTGCTCCACCCAGGGACACCGCGGATACCTTAAACCTCTGTGCCTGTCGCGCAGGCACCCCAGCAGTAGTGACCACGACAGGATGCCTGCTCCGGGCTACCTGCTGCCACCCTCCAGCCCTGCACTCAGGTTTAGCTCATCTGTCTGTATTTCTGTGAAGCTCAGAAAAGGCAGCAACATCAGCTACCAGGCCTTTCCTTGCTCTGCAAATGTGTACGATAAGTTTCCGGAAGTTAGAAGAGATGTTTACATGCTAAATTAAACTTTAAAGGCTACGAGACAGATGAATAATGAACTCTGAGTTTATTTCTCAATTCCTGTCTGTTTCCCCTCTCTCTCCCTCTCTCTCTCTCCCTCTCCCTTTTGTACAACTATGTGTGTACCTGACCATATCAATTGACTTTTCTGGCAAAGAAAAAGGTTCCACTTCCCACATTAGGCATACAAGATGAATACAAAGAGTTTAAGCAGACTTTAAGATCTAAAGGTTTAGGATTAGGATGACATTTGCTGTCCTCTTAAAACATAATTTGATATGAAAATAGGAGCTTAATTATAATCTTTTCTTAAGTCTCTTTAAGGCACTATTTCTGTTTTGGGCATATCCCTAGCAGCCAATAACAAGTGACAACATGATTAATTGCACTTACTTGGCTTCCTGATACTTGTTAAAATTATAATTTCAAATAAAATATCATCTATTCAGTAGATGATTAAAACAATTAATGCTGAATTTATGATTCAAGGACAATCCTAATGAAAACAGAAATAAGAATAAGAAGCAAGCATTTTCTGTCTGTAGACTGATACCAAAAAAGGAGATTTCCTTTTAGCACTGACTGTTAACCATTTTTGTGGAAGAGTTCTGCATGAAAAGTTTCTTTCCATTAATCAATTTTTGCTTCAAGTGTAAAGAAAGAGAAAATAAATTTGCCCTTGGTTTATAATTGCACCAACCCCCTTTCTCCTCAAAGCTAGCAGTAGTAGTCTATAAATTCCTCTGATACTGCAAGCTCTCACAGGGTGTTCTTGGCAAACCTAGAAGGAAAAAAAGAAATAGTTGCTCCTTATGCCAGCAGAAGACTCTGTTTGCTGGAAGATAAGTTACGCTTTGTTCTAAATGTTGTCTATGTTTTAGCCCCACTGATCTGCACAGTGAACCTTGTAAACAGGCCCCACTTCACAGATAGAGATATTAGGACACAGAGAGTATAAGGAATTTGCTCCAGATCTCATAGCTGATAGGTAGGAGCCAGGCTTTGAACTCTGGCTACCTGATGACTACCTGCTGTGGTAGAACAATTACTGTCCCCACTGGACAGCTAAGAAACCACCTTACCTGAGCATCAGATAAGAGGAACTCTTACATAGTCTATACCTATTACGGGTGGTGCTATGATCTGAATATGGATGTCCCTCAAATTCAAATAGTGAAATCATAACCTTCCAAGGTAATGGTGTTAAGATGTGAAGCTTTTGGAAGGTGGAGCCTTCATGAGTGGGTTTGGGGTCCTTGTTAAAGAGACTTCAGAGAGAACCTCATCCTTCCCACCACATGAGATCGCAAAGAGAGGGTGCCATGTATAAACTGGGTAGTAGGCCTTTGGCAGACATGGCATCTGCACTGATCTTAAATTTCCCAGCCTTGAGACCTGCAAAAAGAGGCTTTTGTTTTTCATCAGCCATCTAGTTTATAAGATTTTGTCATAGTATCCTGAACAGACTAAGACAGGCTGAAGCATGGGTTATCTGGTTGAAAAGCTCCTCCACAGATCAGGTGTGAGGTTAGCAGGGGTAAGTCACTTCCAACTGAATCTGCTCTCCTTCGCTGTGAAAAGACAATGCCCAACTCCAGCACACTTCAGCGGAAGGGAGATGTGTCGTTCCTATAACAAGGAAGGTCAGGAATGGAGCTGACAGAGGGACTGGCTCATGAGAGACCCCTTCCTCCATGTTTCCGTCCCCTTTTCGTCCCCTGTGTGGTGCATCCTTGCTCAGGACACCCTCTGCCTGGGAGGAAGGAGAAGGTGGCCTTGGCAGTTGCTGGGCTCTAGTGTTTCAGCGTAGTGTTTCCCTAACCAAAAGGAACATCCCCCAGCCACATGCAGCCCACGGGAAGACTGGCTGGGTTGGTGACGGCATCAAACTTGCATCACTCATTGGCACAGCACATATCCCTAAATGAAACGAGCTATTTGCAAAGGAAATAATTTTCTGCTCCAGAAGAAAGTGATCTCCGTGAGGATAGGAATCATGGCAATCTCATTCCCTGCTGGATAGCCCGGAGGCCTTCCAATATTTTTGCACCTGCCATGTTCTAGGCAGGGGGAGAAACAGAGAAAACTAACTCAGAATCAAGTCTTTCACCATGGCTTCCTTCCCTCAGGCTTTGCCCCCCTCTGACCTACTCTGAGGGAATACCAGCGGTCATAGTCCTGGGTACTGTGCTGTAACAGAACAGTAGCTACTTGTCCAGAAAAGAGAGGCTCCATTGCTGGCCCTGCCCCCTAGCTGTGTGACTCTAGTCAATCAGTCTGCTTCTCTTGGCTGCAGTTCCCAATAATTCTACCTTACCAGCACCTCACAAGCTTGTGAAGGAGGATCAAGGTTGTCTTAAGGCATGGGTAGCAGGTGGAGTGAGATCTTCCTAATTACCTCCCAAGATTTTCCTTCAGGAACACAGCCAAGAATAACCATCTGCGCTTGGATCTCCCCAGTACCTAGCTTTGTCCATGCTTTGCTTTTAATATCTTTTAACCTTCCTTGTCTGCTTATGTAGAGTCACCCATATGAGAAGTCCAAGTTTGTACTCCGGACAAAGCACTTCCTGGTTCCCCTAAACCTCAAATAATCTTACTTTTTATGACATCGCTGTACTTCTCCATCTGGATCTCTAACAACATGCTATCTGCAGTCACCTCATTATTTCACAAGAAGCCCCAGAAAGGAAGCCAAATTGGCCAAGGATGAGCAGCCCTGTGGTTGTCACGGTTCCTTCTGTGGGCAGCAGGACTCATTAGAACAGAGAGTAGGCAGGCAGCACTTCACCATGGGCGCTTCCAACCAATTTAATAAGTTCAAGCCTTCCTCTTTCTCCATCCGGGTTGGTCACAGTTAGGGGCACATCTAGGGAGGCAGCAGGGTACCCATACTGCTTGCTAATGAACCCGCCTGAGTGTCAGGATGGGAAGGTAGTGTTGGACCATGACCCATGTGGTCTGATTCTGGGGAAGTCTCCACCAGTAGAAAACGTAAGAGTTGCCACAGGGCTCACCGTTGATCTCCACAAGCTTGTTTATTCTCCGCTGTCGTCTTCTCTTTCTTAGCATTCATCCTTTGAGAGCTTGTCTGCTGCGTCCTTATAAAGAAAAATCACTCCCTGACATGAATTAACAATGTGAACATCAGGAAGTGAGCTCATCTCTCCCCTGAGTGAAACAGAGCACGCAACATCAGACACAAAAATATGTTTAAAATCATTAACTTTTTTTTCTGTGTTTCAGAAGTTTGACTCCGTGGAAGACATCATCGAACACTACAAGAATTTTCCTATTATTCTCATTGATGGGAAAGACAAGAGTGGCGTCCACAGGGAGCAATGCTACCTCTCCCAGCCTCTGACTCTTGCCCGACACTTCTCACCTCGGTAGCCTGCTTCCTGTTTGTCCTCAACTCAGCGCAGTCATGTTTAAATCACCTTGCATTTCTTTCTTTTTTATTTTTTTGGTACCGGGAATCAAACTCAGGACCTTGCGCTTACCAGGCAGGCGCTGTGCACCTTGCATTTATTTGAAAAGATTATTGTCTGAGCCTTCAAGCGGTGATTTTGTGGACTTTGTATAGAAGACAAACATTCTGTAAAGCACATTGGAAAAATCAATCATGATTTTGAAAATTGAAACCACAGAAAAGATATTTATAACATGCGAAAATAAAAACCAGGCTTCAAAAGTATTTTCTAAGAGGCTGGGGATTTAGCTCAGCGGCACAGCACCTGCCTGACAAGCGCAAGGTCATGAGTTCGGTTCCTGGTACCGGAAGAAAAACAAAAACAAACAAACAAACAAAAAGGTATTTTTTAAATCAAAAGCTGTAAACATGGTCATTGTGCTCACATGACAGATGAGCAGCGAAGGTTTCAAGAACTTGTTGCTTAAATGTTTGTAGCTGGTACAGCAAGTTTGGATGAGGTTCCCAGCCCTGTGTTCTCCACAGCATGCTGAGCGGCCTTCCTGGACTCCTGCACTTCGGGTATTCAGATGATTCCCTGGGCTAGAGATAGAGGTTGCCACATGTTGGCTCTGTCTTATTTGTGATCCTGGAAATTCAATTAGGGAAGTAATATGGAAAGTGAAACAAGAGAACTTGTGAATATCAGTTTAACAACAGAAAGTAGAACTACTTTCTCTGTGGTATGCATATTCTGCCCACAGTGACTTTAAGCCAAGTGGAAGTATCAAATTCACAGAAAGGAACTCAGCAGATTCTACCCATTCCAACCTTAAGGCAATTAGTGTTGATTCTTGCAGTAAGTTTACAGATGTCAGGGTAGTGTGTACCTTGAAGGTGAAGATTTTATTTTATTTTTGTTTCATAATACAGATGAGGAAGAGAAGGCTAAATGAAATTATTGATCTACTCCACATAAGAATTGAGCTCAGACTGTAACCCATCTTGCCTGGCTCCCTGCAAGTGTGTTTTCCCAGGCATATTCTGTGCCCTGTGGAATTTTGCAGCCAAGCTGAAAAGATAGATTTGAAAAAAAGCAAGACAAACAATTTGAAAACACAGACTTATCCACCTTAAAACAAGTTCTCAGAGTGGAGTAAGTTTGGTAAAAAAAAAAAAAAAAATACATACTTTTAAATTAATGGTGCACCATGATTTCAAATGTTACCGAGTCTTCAAATTCATGGAGTATTCATGAAATTAGATCTTTTATACAGAAATAAAATAGAACTAAAAGATAAGAATCCAACACAATGTCCAGGATTATCTCTAAAAGAGGAGACAGTGAGCTCTCTGGGAGGAGCTCTTAGCATCTACAGACCAAGGACCTATTCACATAGTCTTAAGAGTCAGTGGAAAGTCAGGTGTCCAGGTTGGATGAGGAGAATTGATGAAGAGGCTGCTCTCCTACACCTTTTTTTTGTTTTTTTTTTTTGGTTTTTTTTTTTGGTTTTTTTTTTGGTTTTTCTCCGGTACCCGGAACCGAACTCACGACCTTGCGCTTGCCAGGCAGGCGCTTTGCCGCTGAGCTAAATCCCCAGCCCCTGCTCTCCTACACCTTGATAATGAGGAGGATGAACAGAGGTAGGCAGAGACCCTGCAGGCTGCCACTTGTGGGTAGAGACAGGGAAATAGGTGTAGAGAGAAAGAAAAGCTTAGGTCTAAGCAATGGCTGTGGGAGAGCCTTGGCCAGCTCTTGGTGAGTTCTAAGAGTATCCACAGAGGACAGTCTCACACTGGTAATAAATGGTCAGGCCTTAGTGGCCTTTCATGCTACAACATTGCCTAAGGTTAACGCAGAAGAAAACACGTCCTTCAAGCGTGTGGCAGCCCCACAATCTGCCACCCAGGGAGGCATTGGCTGATTGGCTGATCTGCAAGTTCTTCGAAGGGAGACCCAAGTATCCCCTTCCGTAACTGCCACAGCCAAGTTCCTGTTTTCCTGCTTTCAATGTGGATTGTAGTAAGGATATTTTGCTTGTAATAGATTATTAAAGAGCAGGATACATAAATTTTAACTATTCAATTCTGACAAGTTCTATAATGAAGACAGGGCAGATACTCCTAACAAAATTTATAATTACAGAAATTCTGTCTCACTGGCCAAAGTCTTACAATGACATGGTTGTGACAACAACCAAATTCTTCTCTTTTCTGTCTATCTGCTTTATTGGACCTGTTATGGAAAATTCAATAATACAGTTTTTGCAGGCGCAAATTCCAAACTGTTTTAATTTTTTTTCAAGTATTTGCTCATTTTCAGTCTAAAGGCGTCACTTGATATTTAGCCTCAACAAAGTTGTGGAATTTTAGTTTCATCTGATTATGGCATCTGTGCAAGCCAGATTTTTTCTTTTGGACTAAATAACGCCCATTCTGAATCCATGTCTCAGTCTTCTTTACTGAAGCATCGGTGTAGCACTTGTTTGCATGCTGCATGTGTGTTCACTGCTGAGTGCTATTGTGGATGTTGGAAATGCAGGCGTGAATAACTGAGAAAGACAGATGACAAGTTAGGGTACAGATAAATGCACAATCCAAATTGTTTTCCCTTCACCCTGCCATACCTCCCTTTAACACATCACTGAGTGCTTATGGGCTGAAGCCAACATTAAATACTTTAATGAATCTCCTTAGAAATTGCATCAAAATCTCAACATTTTGATGAGAATATTTGAATCAGAACATTTAAAAAATTTACATATGTAATAACCATCTCAACATGTGGAAAGCAGTATCTCATTGTGGTTTACATGTGCATTTCCCTGATTATTAGTGATATTACCCACCTTTTTATTTATCTGCGGTCTACCGTTGAGAGAGAGAGAAAGAGGCAGAGATTGGCAAGGATGTACATCAGTTAGAAACTTTTACCTTGTTCATGGGAATGTCAAAGAGCATATGCACTGTGGAAGACAATACAGTCTCCTTTAAAAAATTAAAAATAGAACTACCATAATATTCAGCAATCCCACTCACTTCTGGATACATATCCAAAAATTTGAAATCACAATCTTGAAGAATGATCTGCTTTGCAGAATTGTTCCTAATAGCCAAGATATGGAATAACTAAAATATTCATCAACAGGTAAACACATAAAACATGTTATATACATGCAGTACAATACTGTTCAGCCTTAATAAAGAAGGAAATGCTCTTATATGCGACGACACAAATGAATCTGGAAGGCATTATACTAAGTGAAATAAGCCAAACAGAGAAAGACAAATACTGCCTAATCTCACTTATATGTGGAATTTAAGACAATTAAACTCAGAAACAGAGAGTACAGTGGTGGTTCCCAGAGGCTGGGGAAGGGAAAGGAGTCGTTCAATGAGTATAAAGTTTGGGTTATGAGATAAGAAAGTGCTAGACACCTGCTATAAAACATCATGCCTACAGTCAACAGTAACTTATTGTATATTAAGAATTTATTAACGGAGTAGGTGTTATATTAAGGGTTCTTCACAAGAAGTGGGGGAGGTGGGGTAAAGCAGGGAACTTTTGAAGCAATGGATATGCTTATTACCTTGAATGTGGCAATGGTTTCACAAACGCATGGTTATTTCCAAACTCATAAAATTGTGACTATTTAACATACTCTTTTTTCTAGATTAGTTTACCCCAATGAAGCTATTTTTTAAAGAAAAAGACACACATGTTACTGAAACTATGCAATGCAGAATCATATATTTGGTGGTTCTCTCCCTTGTGCCACCGCAGCGCTGGGAGGCAGGAATGGATGCCTGGGGAGAACGTGGTCTGGGACACTTTCCCCAGGAAGGTCCTGGGACTCAGTGGAGAGGTTCAGGCTTGGACTTGAAGGGGGACCCTAAAACAGAGTTTTACAAGTACTGGTCAGTAGATCTTAGAGTACTCCTGTCCCAAGGAGCTATTCTAGGCCATGGGGGAAATCAAGCAGTGATTTCAAGTAAGCAAAAAAATAACATAACATCTATGGGGAACGGAGAGGTTATTTAAGTGGTTCTAGAAGAACTGACTTGCTATCCAGAAAAAAGAATACAATTATGTCTGTATCTCAAATAATATACAGAAATATACTCTACATGAATCAAATAACTAAAAGAAAAACAGGAAATTTTAAGCTGAGTCATGAACTTTTTTCTAATAACTTTTATGGCTTTGGCTTAAGGGAAGAGTTTTTAAACAAGATAAAAACATAAATCATACAGGGATAGACTGGCAGGTTCATCGTACCAAACTTTTAAGTGTTTGCAAAAATTGGACAAAATCAGAAGGCAATTAAACATCATTATATATGAGCAAAGGATATGTCTGGGTTACTTTTCTCTCATTGCTGAGACAAAATACCTGACACCCAGACTTAAGGAAGGAAAGGTTTAGTTACCTTACACTCTGTGGAGGTTTCAGTCCATACTCAGCTGGCTCCAAGGCAGAGTGGCAGATGGCAGAAGGCAACTGTTCACAGTGGTGGAAGACAGCCAAAGCAGCAAGAGCAAAATGGAGGACAGGCAGCAAGCAGCCTCTTTCCCTCCCTTACATGTGTGCAAACTACCCACCCCAGGGCAGGTGTAGCACTCACACCCATAATCCCAGCACTGGATCATGGATCAATCTTAAACTCTAAAAGCAGGGGCTGGGGATTTAGCTCAGCGGCAAAGCGCCTGCCTGGCAAGCGCAAGGTCATGAGTTCGGTTCCCGGTACTGGAGAAAAAACAAACAAACAAACAAAAAAACTCTAAAAGCCCGCACCATAACTGCATGAAGCTTTGAGGGGACATCCAGACACGAACCATAACAGGCCATAAATGAGTAATGCATCCAAACAAATAGAAAACTCATAGCACTGCACACCAAGACACGCAAACTTTCTCATTTGTGTGGCTAACAAGACTAGGTAGTAGTGGAATTGCCAAGGTTAACCTTGTAACAGAAAACCCAGGGAAAATCAACTTGACTTCCATTATAAAAGTCTGACAAGGGTGGGGAATGGGCATCACTATTTACCCTTGAAGGTTAGTAAAGGAACTGGAGTAATAAGAGGAATTTTCTCTATCAACATATATTATAATCAACCCACTCCCTCCCTAGAAACCAGAGATTTACTTAACCAAGCTTTGTGGCAGCAGTTGAGAAAATATGCCTCCAGGAAATACTTTAAATTAGTCCTCTAAGATGTAGCTGAAAAAGTGCGAAGTGAATGCTGTGTTGAAAATGGAGTTCAATGAAAGCATCAC